AATTATTTACTAAATTATCCACTCCATCCAACGAAAAAGGCATTACCGTCTTGACACAACAACCACCTTATGATCCAACTAGTGACTCTGATATATCTACTTGTCATGAGATTAGTAAACTAGCCCAACAATTTCAATCCACTAATCTTCACAAAATTGTACACCCCAAAGTTAATCTTACTACTCTAAAAAAAAATTGGTATACTAAACCTACTCCACCTGATCTTCAGTTCGAAGAGACTAATATTAGTAATCAATTTTCTGTTTCTACTAAAAAATTATATGAATGGAATATATATGGTCTTAGTGAAAATCAAATTTTTCAAAAGTTAAATCATATGCCTATGGTCGCTAATAGTTATCTTAGTAATTATCCTGACTACACTCAACCTGAAATTGTTTCTTTACTCACCTCTGGTTTTACTAGCATGCTTAAATCTTGGTGGAACAAATATCTCACTCAGGATATGTGTGAAGATATTCAAAATGAAATCCAAGTTGATGAAAAGGACTTCCCAATATTTGATAAAGGCATAGGAACAAGTAAACCTGATGGCATTAATACTTTAATATTTACCATAATCAAACATTTTATTGGAACACCTACTAATATTCATTTTCGCATCCATGATCAACTCAGTAATTTAACTTGCCCTACATTAAGTGATTTTCATTGGTATAAAGATGTCTTTACGTCTAGAATTATGCTTAGAGATGATTGTATTGAATCATTTTGGAAAGAAAAATTTATTAATGGATTACCTAGTATTTTTGCCCATAAAATTAGAGATGTCCTTAGTCAACCTACTGGTATTATTGAATATGATAATCTAACCTATGGTGATATCATTAGCACTATTCAAAAAGAATGATTAAAAATGTGTATCGATATGAAACTTAGTCAAAAAGCTACTCGAGATAAATATAAAGCTAAATACGAATTAGGTAACTTCTGCGAACAATATGGTTTACCTCTTGTAGCACCATGGCGTAGGAAAAATCAGAAAAATAAAACCTCCCCAAAACCTTATAAGAAATATCGTAAAAAATATTCACTTTCTATATCACCTGATAATATATTATGCTAAACCTAACAAGAAATACCATAAGAAAACTAAAAACTTTAAAAAGTCAAAATCTACCCAAAATGTTAGTTGTTACAATTGTGGTAAAAATGGTCATTATTCTAACAAATGTAAAGCTAAAGCTAAAGAACACCTAAAAGACAAACTTAACCAATTACAAATTACTGAAGAAAATTAACTTCAAATATTTGAAATATTCAACTTAACTAATACCCCGAATCACTCTCCACATCCGTCTAGTACCTCATCAAGTGATCCTAATTCGTTCAGTAGTACTTCTAACTATTATTCTCCCACTGATGACAATGATGATGATCCAATTGAACTAGGATGTAATGATACCTGCTGCAAACATGTCACTATACTTAGTAAATCCCAACAAAAAGAAGATTCATTGATTGAATTAATTAGTAAATTAGACAATGTTGACTTGAAACGAAAATACACTAATAAATTAAAATCTTTATTAATGAATAAAGATAAAAAACCGTATCAAGATAAACCAATTATCAGTTTAACTTCTACTTTAGAAAGATTAAAAAAAGCTCATCATCAAGAAGTAACCTAACAAGATTTATAGAAAGAAATTAACCAAATTAAATTAACTATTAAAAATTAAAAACTAAAGACAAATCATTGGAAGACGAAATTGCAATATTAAAAATCAATAAAAGTCTTAATGATTTTCAACACAATAATGATACTTCCTTAGATGAATCTAGTTCTAGTCACAATCCTACCTGAGTCATTTTTTATAATCGACCGACTAAATCTCATAGTAACAGTACTAATCACGATGATAGTAATTGTTTAAATATTACCAATAGAATTAATATTCAAAAATGACATTCTAAAGTCAAGTTAGTTATTAATGATTTTGAAATAAAAGTCATAGCCCTAATTGATACCGGTGTTGATTTAAATTGTATCTAAGAAGGTTTAATCCCCACAAAATATTATCATAAAACTAGTGAACAATTAAGTTCTGCTAATGGAAGTCAAATTCATATTAAATATAAATTACCTAAATTACATAGTTGTCAAAATAATATTTTTTTAAAACATCATTTGTTTTAGTTCGAAATATGACAGACAAAGTCATTTTAGGAACTCCATTTATCTTCTTATTATACCCATTCACTACCACTAATTATAGAATAACAGCACAAGCTTTTAGTCAAATAGTAACCTTTAAATTCTTGTCTCCTCCTGAAATCAAAAAATTAAATCAATTAAAAGAATGTTCCATATCCTAATCTATCTATCAATTAACCAAACAACTTAAGTTTCTTAAGGAAGAAGTCAAATATAAACGAGTTGAATCTCAATTAACAAATCCAATTCTTGTTTCTAAAATTGAACAACTCAAAACCCATTTAGAAACTACTATTTGTTCTACTTTACCTAGTACTTTTTGGCATAAGAAAAAACATGTAGTTACACTTCCTTATATTAAAAACTTTAATGAAAGACAAATTCCTACTAAATCTCGTCCAATTCAAATGAATAATGAATTAGTGGAAATGTGTAAAAAAGAAATCACTGCATTGCTTAAAAATAATATCATTAGTAAAAGCAAGTCACTTTGGTTTTGTCCTGCCTTTTATGTTAATAAAAATGCTGAATTTGAATGAGGTGTTCCATGATTAGTCATCAATTATAAACCTTTAAACAAAGTTTTAGAATGGATTCGATATTTGTACGGGAAAGAAATATACCTTCTCGTATAATCCTGTTGACTAAGTCTGTGCTCCTCCGTACGACGTCGCTTTGTCACCTGAAAACACAAACGTGAGCTAGCCGGCGGGTGTGTGCCGGAAACCCCTCCGATGTCTAAGTCAGCAAACTTGACAAATAGACAAAGCTCTGTGTATTCAGAAAGCAAAGTTGTGTGTTACCCCCCTAAAGGTGAGGTTCGTGAGCTTTTATAGGTTTTGTGTGGCACAATCCTAGTAGGACTTCTACTCCTCCATGTAGAGTCCTCCTAGGATTCATACTCCTGAAAGATAATGCTTATCCTTCAACACCCCCCTTACTGCTTAAACCAAGTGAGATGGTTTTTACCATGGCCGAACTACCACATGATCGAAATAACACTGGCTATGCTGAGCCGCAGAGTAGGCCGAACTATCCTTAGTTCGGTTCTTTCTTTTCTACTCCCTATCTCGGTTCTTTCATGTACAAACCATGGTATGTTCAAACCGAGCTACAAAGTTTTGACCGTTCTAACCACAATACGTCATGACCGGACTAACTTTGAGACCGGCCTAACTCCAAGTTGCTTCCGGACCAGAGTAACTCTACAATTCTTGGTCCGGAGTAACTTTATCTCTCTTGGCCGGAGTAGCTTTTCGGCCTTTTTACCCAGTCCTTTATACTTTGGGCTATAAAGTCCATCTCACAGCTCGGCCCCATTTATATACACAAATTACCCTCTCAATATTCAATCCCTAACAAAAAAGATTTAATTAAAAGACTAAGCCAAGCTGTCATCTTTAGTAAATTTGATCTTAAAAGTGAATTTTGGCAAATACAAATTCATCTTAATGATAGATACAAAACTGCTTTTACTATGTCCTTTGGTCATTATGAATGGAATGTCAAGCCTTTTGGTTTAAAAAATGCACCTAGTGAATTTCAGAACATCATGAATGAAGTATTTAATCCCTTTAGTCATTTTTCTATCGTATACATTGATGACATTCTTATTTTCTCCCTGTCAATCAATGAACATTGGAAACATCTCCATTCCTTCCTCTAGATTATTGAACATAATGGTTTAGTTATCTCTGCACCTAAGATTAAGTTATTTCAAACCAAAGTCTGATTTTTAGGCTATGATATTTACCAAAGTACCATTCTCCCCATAAGTCGATCTATTGGGTTTGCTTTTAAGTTTCCTAGTGAAATCTTAGACAAAACCTAGTTATAGTGGTTCCTAGGCTCCCTTAATTATATTAATGAATTCTATAAAGACCTTAGGAAAATTTGTCAACCCCTTTTTGATACATTAAAAGATAATCCTCCTCCCTGGTCTCCCAATCATACTGCTATTGTGTAACAAGTCAAAAAATATGTCAAAACTTTGCCTTGTCTTGGTATTCCTACTGAAAATCCATTCAAAATTATTCAAACTGATGCCTCTGATGTTGGTTATGGTGGCATTCTCCTTCAGAAGGTCACTCATAAGTCATCTAAACAAATTGTTCGTTTTCATTCTGGTGTTTAGAACAAAGCACAGAAAAATTATAATAGTATTAAAAAAGAAATTTTATCTGTTGTATTATGTATTAGTAAATTTTAAGATGATATTTTAAATCAAAATTTTTTATTACGTGTTGATTGTAAAAGTGCTAAATATGTTTTAGAAAAAGATGTTCAAAATATTGCTTGTAAGCATATTTTTTCCCGTTGGCAATCTATTTTAAATATTTTTGATTTTGATATTAAGTACATTCCTGGTGGTCAAAATTCTATTCCTAATTTTCTTACCCGAGAATTTTTACAGGGGGGATAGTGCATCATGCTTACTCCTTATTGTTCTACACACAAGTTAGCAGTCACCCGATATCACAAATTGATTCGTTGTTGCTTTTTCAAAATAACCTATTTAAAAATGATTGATTGAGATCCTTATTTACAATTCCAGCAAATTTGCACTCAACGCAATTTGATTTCCCATTACATTGATCTTCTCAATTTCCATATTGATAAGCTAGATCTCCTCAGTGAATGCTAATCAACTTCTGTTTGTTCAACTTTAGATGTCAAGTCAAAGCCTCCTTCTAAACTTGCCATTATTCCAACCAGTCAACCTATTGTTGCTTCTCTAATTGATCTAGTCAACATATACCAAATTCTTGGTAACATTCCTAAACCTAGTTACATTTCTGCCCTTGTTTCAGATCCCTTTACTTGTCAGTCCATTACTCCAATGCCTCATTATAATCCATACAGAACTACAAGAACAGATTATGTTCTTAAACCTCAACCAGTCCATCTTTTCTACAAAGAACCAGTTCATAAAAATATTCACAATGTCAATGAACTAGTTACATCCTATTTCCCTTATGGATGGCATTTCATTTCTTCCCATCCAGAAAAGTCAATTACTTTTTATAAAGACATCCTCTTTCATCACCAGTCCATAGTCATCAAACCCATCTATGATCGAATCAATGCTAGTAAAATCATTTACCATTCTTTATGCATACACAATATTGTATCCATGGATGAATGAGGTCTCCATTTTCTCCTTCGTGACCTTCACAATCACAAGATACAATATAGTTACTATGATTATATTGATGCCTGGTTTAAGATCTTTCTCCACCAAAATAAGTCTTATAGTCACTCCTGGTTTTTCTCTTTTGACCATAAATTCAAGTCCGAATTTCCTTCATGGTTCCTAAGATGGTGGCCTCAACATGGTGCTATCCCAGAAATTATTCCTACTAATTTAATGGAACAAGTCAATTATTTCTCTTCAGTTTATAAATGAAGTCAACATAAAAGTCAATTCCCTATATTGCTCCATTTTATGTCCAAATATAAAGTACCTTGGATATTTAAATGGCAATACAATATTTCCAACAACCTAGTCAGTCGCCAGCATTTTGTCAAATGGCGGGACGCTTTCAAAGTCCAACGATTATTGAACAAGTTCAGCAAGAATTTCCAATTAATATTCATGCTCCTACTCCTGCAATGGTTAAATCTTCTCAATAGAACCTAACTACTTCAGTCACTTAAGAAAGCCCACTTCCTCTTACCACAGTTAGAGTTGGGAGCCCAATAGCCAGTTTTGGGCCTTCAAAATCCAAGTCATCCAAGTAAAAGCCCAAGTCCAAGACCAGTAATGAAGAACTTATTCAGATTGTAAAGTTACTATTGGCCTAAGCCAAGTCACAAGATGAAGATGATGCTTTAGATGGATCAGCCTCATCCGAACCTCTACTAGTCATGATCCATATGGTCCACAATTCGAAGATGCTCAGGACCCATATGCCTAGAACAGTCATTGGATTCCATAGATACATCAGCTTCAGTCACTACTCTTACTTTGAGAAAAGCTGCTGATATATATATATATATATATATATTGATTCCCCATTAGTCATCCAGGGCCGGCCCTGAGATTTGTGGAGCCTAAGGCGAACTATGAAAATGGGGCCCCTCTAATATATATATTTTTTAAATAAAAAAAATTATGCATAAAATGATAAGTATCCACAAATTTTTTATTTAAGTATACTTGCACATATAATCATTAAAATTATAAACTAAAATTTACTTTCATATATTAAGATAGGAAGAAATTAGTACAATGACTCAAAAATATTAAAAACTGGTTTTGTTGCTTTATAGTGTAGAAGAAAAATGCCTATCTTTGTCATCTAGGGGAAAATTCACACCATTACCTCTTATAAGACCTCTTTCAACTAATAAATCTCTTAAATTTTGATCAATCTTGTCCTAATTATTAGGATCATAAATGTTTAGAGGTCCACATTCAACATTGACATCTTCACTTTCACTAGATTCTACATTCCCCAAATCTTCATTCTCATTCTCATTCTCAATCTCATTCATATGTTCACTAGGTTGTTCAATCACCAAATCATCATTCTCATTATTATTCACACAATGAGTAGGTTCTTCAATTACCAAATTTTCATCATCATTGTCATTTGAACCCAAAATATCTACTTGTTTCTTGGTACGAAAATATTTATCAAGGGCTCCTGATTGAGATTGAATTAATTGTTCTACTTTCATCCTCTTCTTTCTTATTTCATTTCTAGAACTATACTTCCTAGGAAACATGGCTATAATCACAAACACTTCACTTTAATCCACAAATCACAAACACTTCAATCCACAAATCACAATCCACTGATCTGATAGCAAATAAATTATAAAAAAAACAATTTAATGAAACAAAATTAGGGCAAAAAAATTAGGAATATATTATTTAATTAAAACTGATAAATACCTAGGTAAAAAATTAGGGCAAAATTATTTATTCCACTAAAATCTAATGGATAAAGAAGGTAAAAAAAAATTAGGGCAAATTTATTATTCCACTAAGTGATAGAGAAATAACGTAGAAAACAAATTAGGGCAACTTTAATTAATAAAATCTGATATTGAGAGTGAGAAAGAGGACTTACCATGAGAGAGAGTGTGTGGGAGAGAGGTGAGTCGCCAGAGGAGTGTGTGAAAGAGAGAGAGTGAGCCCGTCACAATGATGTGCTCAGTGCTCTGCGTCTGCCTTCAACTTGGTACATACTTCTGTCTTCATTTCTTCACTTCGTGAAAGAGAGAGAGAGATTGAAAGCAGAAGCAGTGCACTAAAGTGAACAATGTTGTATATTGTATGTATGGTTTGGGTTGGGCCAAAACACTTTTATATATATATATATATTTATTTTAATAAATATGGGACAAACCACATAAATATGGGCTAAATCATACATGGGCCCAATAAAACATTTTGGGGCCCTTTAAATTAATCCTAAAACAAGAAAAAACAAAACAAGAAAAAACAAACAAGAAAAAAAGTTGGGCCTATGACAATTTATTAAATTTGGGGGCCCTATTTTTGGGGCAAAATTGTGGGGCCTAAGGCACAAGCCTTATTGGCCTTAGGCCAGGTCCGGCCCTGCAGTCAACTGAGCAGTCACGAGAGAAAAAAAAAGAAAAAAAAGTAGATAGCTTTCCATCAGTCATCGAAAGTTTCCCACAACACCCACGTTTACTATAGTGATCCCGGTTGTCCTTTTACTGTTCAGTTGTATTCTGGACTCGGTTCCGTAGAGTTGGTGGTTGTATTTATCTTGTTGTCGTCCTTTAATTCCATTTGTTTGAGTTTTAGGATGTGTTGGGCTTGTTTCGAACAGGTGGGTTGAACCTTGGTCTAAAATTTTGTTGCCAGGTTTTTGGTCGTTCCGCTCGAGCGGGCCTTGTTGCGCTCGAGCGGATATTGCACACTCCCAGTATTTTGTGTCCCTGCAAAATTTCTATAGGTGTGATTTTTACGCTTAAGCGGGTTTCTTTACGCTCGAGGGGTCGCGTTCGAGCGGGTACTCTGGCGCTCGAGCGAGTAGTACTTTTTGGTGTAAGTTCTGGGAGGGGGAAATCTACGCTCGAACGGACTGGTTTTCGCGCTCGAGCGGATGTACTTTATTCTTGTGTCTTAGGGCTCGAGCGGGCCTTCTTGCGCTCGAGCGTACTGTAGACACCCCATTTTTGACTGCCTTTAAGACTCGGACGCGACTGATGGTTTTGGAAGATGTGCAGGGCAAAGGTTCAATTTCTTCAGCAAGGAGAGAGTCAAAGCTCAACTTCATACCCCTTTTTGGACCAAAACAATCTTGATCAAAAGATTTTAGCCGTAAAACCCTCTCTTTCAAAACATTTTTGAAATAAAGTTTTTACGATGTTCCGAGGCTCGCATTTTGTCAAATGTTGCACTTTTCGGTAAACCGAGCAAGGACAAAGTGGAAAAGAATGAAAGAGAGATGAAATCTTTGAAAAAATCTTTCAAAACACCTTGCTTAGGGGTTTGAAGTTGAAGAAAAGAGGAGAAGAGGGAAGAAATCCAGTTGGGGGAGAAAATGGGCATGAACCGTTAAGAAAGAGTCGAGCAGCCCTTGCCAAATCGGGCCTATTCATTTGCACACTTGGAATCAAGCTATGAGGCCACCACCGTTGGAAATAATACTTCCGGGGCTTCATTTTTCACTCAATAATCTCCTAAATCCAATTCCGGACGGGGGAGATATAGTTGATTGAAGTAGGGCATCACTCCGGTTGGGACCGAATCTGCGCGGCTTCACGGAAACTAGCATAAATTTTTCCGCAAGAGGAATTTTAATGCAAGGTTTGCGCCATTGGAAAGTTAACTTCCGGGGCTTCAATTTGGACACTTGAATGGCCACCATTCGACTTTCCAATCACCCACCGGCCACTTTTCTTTTCGACAGCCCATTGTCCTGAAAGTAGCAGGCCGGCCAGAAAATCTAGCTGGCCGGCCACCTAGCTGGTGAAATGACTTTTTTTGCCCTTTTTAGCTAGCCGGCCATAACCCCCTCCCCAAGTGTGTCCTAGAAGTGAATTTTGTTTTCCTCTAGGCCTTATGTCCGAGGGTTTGGCCTTTTGGGGGGAAACTTGAATTGTTTTCCCCCCCATTTTCCCCCTCTTTTCCACCCTTTTTGTCTATATAACCAGCACTCCTAGCTAGATTTGGGGGGTTATAAATTTTTTCTTTGAGCCTCATATGTTGCATCTCTCCCTCTCTACATCCTAACCCTTAAAACCCTTAAGTTCCTACACCATTTATACACCACCACCTAGCACCACACCACCACCTCCATTCCAGCCACTTGGAGCTGCTTTCCAGAGCTGAGGAGCACCATTTCTTGTGCCAAGAGGTTGTCAAAGATTAGTCTACAAGGGTGAGTCATTTTTCCCCTCTTTTGAGTTCATTTTTGCATGCTTTCTTAGCCATTCTTGCTTACACTTGCTTCTTTACCTCTCTTGTATGCCTATTTCTTGTGTAGTATTTTTGGCCTACGTGTAAACTGTTTTGAGCTCTGTCATAAATTGTAAAGTGGATTATTTTGAGCCTTTTTTCAACATTATTGAAGGGCTCATCACTGTTTGAGGCTTCCATTTTCCACTTGCCTTTATATCCCTCTTTTGGCCTTATTTTTGTATGATTTGTTATCCCCTTGTGTTTGCATTTTTGGACTCTGGTCTGAACTGTAAACAGCCTTATTTTGACCCCCTCTTCATGTTTGATCAAGGGTCTTTTGCTGTTTGAGGCTCCCTTTTTACACTTTGTGTTTAAGCCTCTTTTTAGGCCTTATTTTGCATAATATTTTAGGCTTGCACGTGCACTGTTTTGGGTGTGGTCATTAACTGTAAAATATCATGTTTTTGGCCCCTCTTAAACTTTGTTGAAGGGCCCTCCTCTGTTTGAGGCTAGAAACCATCACTTGCTTCTTTGTCTCCCTTTCGGCCCATTTCTTGCACAATGTTTTAGGCGTGTTTTTGTTTAGATCCGTGGCTTGTTATAAACTGTAAAGTGCTTCATTTTGAGCCCCTCTTCAACTTTGTTGAAGGGCTCTTGGCCATGTAGGGCCAGCAGCTATTACTTGCTTCATTACCTCTCTTACGGGGCCATTTTTGCATGCT